CGTCTTTCCCGGAGCAACAACGGCGGAGGATCCGGCGAGGCCAAGGCAGAGCGGATTCGATGAGCTCGAGGCGCAGCGAGCTCCTCTGGCGGTGGATCGAGGTCGGCCGCGCCCCCAGCGGCGGATCTAGTGCGGACTCATCCTCTGGCAGCAGATCCAGGCGGTGGCGTCCCCCGGCGGTGGATCGAGGTCAAGCGCGACCGAATCTAGAGATGGCGACGGCGATGGCGACAACGCGCAGATCCGGCGTGGCGGAGTAGGAGCCCGCGATGGTCGCGGATGACGACGTCGCTGTGGCGAGCGACTCGAGGAGGCGGCTTTGCTGGTGGCGCGGTGGTGGTGCGGCGTGGTGGGGCCATCCCTTCTTCCCCGGCGTGGTGGCGGCGGCGTGGATGGTGGTGGTGCGGCGTGGTGGGGCCCTCCCTTCTTCCCCGGCGTGCTTTTTTTATTTTTTTTGAAAAAAAAAGTTTGCCGAGTGTTTTTTGGGCACTCGGCAACTTCTTTGCCGAGTGCCCGACAGAAAACACTCGGCAAACTAGCGTTTGCCGTTAACAAATTTGCCGAGTGTTTTTGGGACTTCGCCGAGTGCCCCGGCACTCGGCAAATATCCTGTATCCAGTAGTGCACATTCGCCGTGTCCTTCTGTTGCCGCGCCCGGATGATGTCCTCGGTGAGCACATTGTACGTCGGCTTGCCGGCCCTCGTTTCTTCCTCCACTGCGTACTCGCCATCGGAATCGGCGACCTCGCCAATGCATCCCCTGTCGTCGTCGGCGGCTTCATAATCGTAGCAGTAGTCATCGTCCTCCATGGAATCACCGGGGCTGTCGTCGCCACTCTCGCTGTCGTCCTCATACGTGAAGTCGCCAGTGGCAACTCTGCTTCTCTCACCTCCTATATTCTTATTAATCGAATTTTATTGGTAAACAAACTCTCCGGAATAGTGATATTCGCCCTGTTCGCTTGGCTTATAAGCCGTATTTTTTCAGTCAACGAACAATATTTTTCTCTTACAACAAATCAGCTAACAATATTTTTAGCCATGGCTTATCAGTCAATCGAACCGAGCAATTTTCGTTTGAGGAGATCATCGTTCTCCTAACATAACAAACTGGTACCTTCCACATTTTATTGCCAACATGCATGGGAAGCGGTGCCCACACACCAGTACACAAAAGTTTTTTTTTCTAGAGGCGGCTAAAATCAGTTTTTCAAAGGTGGTTTTAAAAAACGGCTACAATCCCACCGATTGTAAAGATAAGTGATTTTCAGAGGGGTTTTAAAACCGCCTCTAAAAATTTTATTTAGGCAACCGCCCCTAAAAATCAATTTTTAAAGGCGGTTTACTTAAGTCAACCATCCCTAAAAATAATTTTTAGAATTTTTTTTAAAATTATTTAGAGTCTAATAAAAATAAGAAAAAATATTTAGTGTGGCCAGGCCTAGAGGATCAACCAACCACTTGTAGGATTTAATTTTTGTTTCAAATTTTTTAAATTAATAATTTATGTTTTCATAATTTTTTACGATTCAAAATATCTAGTGCAGTAGTTAGGATTTGAACTCGCAACCTCTCACTATGCGTGCTCTATCCCCTACTACTACATCACACAGTCACTTGTGTTGACATATACAATACTATCCATTTGTACTGATACCTATAAAACTTATAATAAATATTTGGACTATTAAACGATCTTAAATGGAAAAAAAATTTAACTATAAAGTTTTAGATCTTGTCGAGTACTGCAACTTTCATATACGACATTTTTCCATCCAAGGTCATTTGAAAAATTCAAAAATTTAAAATGAAAAATTTGAGACTTAATTTATATATTTGAAACCCTAAACGATCTCAAACAAAAAATTTAACAACTATAAAGTTTTAAATCTCGTCAAACTCTACAATTTTGATATAAATTGTCTTCATCCGACTTCATTTAAAAAAGATATGAATTTATTTGTGCTGCAGCTATTTTTAAGGACGTTTGACTCAGTCAACCGCCCTTGAAAATCTCACTTATTTTCAGAGACGGTTGACATAAGCAACCGTCCTTGGAAATAGTATTTCTAGAGGCGGTTCTCTTAACGGAACCGCCCCTAAAAATGGACATATTTTTAGATGCGGATTTCTTAATGGAACCGTCCCTGAAAATGGATCTTCAGTGACGGTTATGGAGCTACAGTGCTCCACAGCGACGTTAGAGACAGCGTGCTAGTTTAACCGCCTCTGATAGAAAAGGGATGCGTTCCTAAAATTTTTTCCTGTAATAGTGACCTTTGGATTTTCAGAATTTTATAAAGGATTAGTAGCATGCCAGAGCCTGGTATAAAACCTAGTTTTATGGGGAATTTTCGGGTCATTGTTGGAAATAATATTCACCTATTTGCATATATTGGCATTTTTCTACTCATGTACAAGCCACCCCTCCCTGGCGGATATTGGCTTTGGGTACCGACACGGCGACGCTGATGACACCCCTGGCCTTCGCGTGCATCCCTAATAATGACCTAAGGGTTTGTTTAGATATCCATATATCCATGTCAATCTATATGTGTTGGAGTGAACTCCACACCAAACCATTTCAACCCACATGGATTGATTATGTCAATTCATGAATATCCAAACAAGCCCTAATCAGGATTAGGGGCCTGAATATCGCCAACCCACCGTCGAGATCGAAGTCCGGGGGGCCATTCGATCACTTGCTCTGGTGGTCTCCCCCACCTCCTGGCATAGCCTACATCTAATGCCACATGTCCCCATTGATGTTTTTTTTGCCTTGTACTTCTCTACATCTTGCTCACACAAAGCACCAGAAGTCTACAACCCTCGCCCTAGCAACCACACAGGCCACCATTAGCGCCAATACACTGACCTCGTCTAGTGCAAGAATATGTCTATCCCATCGCTATGTCGTCCCTGTCGATACTCTTTATCTCCTGGCCACACACACACTCTGTTCACATAAGTCCAAGCAGACGCCTAAGCTATCCTCCACCTCCTCCCGTACCATCCACCTTGATTCTATTGGTAAATGCCAACATGCTCCTCTCCCAGGCTAGCCATTTTTGGTCAAAAAGAAAGTAGGCACCAAATTCAAAATGAGAATGACTCGAATATGGGTGCTTGGGTGAAGACCACACCTTCCACCCACCTAATTTGATCGAACAGTTAGCTAGGTGCGGATGGTGGGATCAACCCACATTCAGATGGGCCCACCAGTCAGAGAATTGTGCCAACAAACGTACGGACCAACCTATGAGGAACTATGCGCTTTTTCATCAAAAAAGAAAATAGGCACCAAATTCGAGATGAGAATAACTTGAACTTGAGTGGTTGGTGACTACACCTTCGATCCAACCGATTGAGCTAGGAATATAGCATTGAACAAACTTTTGGAGTACAACCTTTCTTTAAGCAAATTTTGCTGCTAGACACTGAACTAGTGTGATATTAGCCATTTGACACATGCCAAACACGAAATTTACCATGTGTCATTATAAATTGGCTCGCACTTATTTGCTCTCTCATATTACAACTTTATTTTATTCATTCTTCATTTTGGGAGAGAGATCTATAATGCATTGATATTTTTGCCTCGAGCTCACACAAGGTGAATACACTGAAGGTTCATGGTATGTTTATGGTCACAAACGGTTTTTGGAAGAAGTTTGGGAGGATTATTTTGGTGATATTCAATCCTTTGATATTTTTTGGGGCTAGCACATTTGTGGGCACCTCAACAATGGGGACGTAGACCCATTTTTTTTTGGTGTGGCCAAACCTCGGGTTAAATCTTGTGTCTACATGTGGCCAACAGGTTTTTTTTTCACCTCTCTCAGTGACCGGAAATTACAATGAGGACCGAAATTTCTGGTACCTAGGTTTAATCTGTTGCAAAGTTTTTAAATCTGATGTGGTATAGATCTGATGAAAGACAGCATGGGTTTGGAATCCATATGTGCTGATGTTGCCCTGCCGCCATTGTCGGAGACGAGGAGCTGTCCGGAGTTAGGGTTCGGGTGGTTAGGGGATCTACTCACCACCAGCGATTGTAGAAGGGGGTTTGGGGTGGCGGTGCGCTACCCATCATGGCAGTGGGAGACAGCAGTTTGGGGATGGCAGGGTTTAGGGACACAGCAGTGGGAGGTGCATGGAGTGGTGAGGCAGCTGGAGCCACGATCGCTGGTAGTGGAAGCGCAAGGGTGGGGGTGGCGGCGGCGGTGGGTTGCGCGAGGAAGAGGAGTGAACGAGCGAGTTCTATGAGGGTGTGGATGACATGGGTGAGAAGGAAGAAGGGTCGCGCGATTCGTCCTCCAAAAGGATATAGGGGAATAGAATCTGTAGATCCAGATGTTATGGATGATACAAAGAGAATGCTTTAGGGGACGGGGGGAAAGGAGATGGGAATAGAATACGTGGATCCACATCCACGTGCTATGAATTATATTTGGAGAACGTTTTAGTTTTAGTAGTACGTTGGAGTATATACGGCAAAAAGCCACTATCAAAACTATTGGCAAGTCGATGAAGTTGCTTCCAAGAGATCTCTTATGAACGATCTTTAGATTATGGCCTCTCTTAGAGTGAGATTTGCGGTCACTCGTAAGCGTAGGGAATAAAGCAATGACATGGATGTGTATGGGAGTTCTACACTATCTCTTATAATCCTAAATCCCATTAGCAATGTATCTCACAATGTACTGTCACGTGCAATTAAAACTCACTAGCACATGTAATTTTGGATGTCCACGTCAGCAAGACACACAAATATTTTTTTTAATCCATGCAATCCACTAGAATTAATTTATAATAGTTTATTCCTTCATATAAGTAACTATATATATATAGTCTAATGAAACTCTAAATCATCTGCAATTTTCGCGGGAACGCGTTCCAAAACGACACAAAAGAATGAGTGAATGAAGGTAAACTGAATAACACACGAATTAAGTCTTGAATGCGATAAATCTGATGAAAGATAGCAAGGGTTTGCCCTACTCGGCCGTCTCCACCTCGGCCAGGTTGGTCTCGAACGCTTTCACGAGGTTCTCGAAGTAGTGCCGCGTCACCTGGGTGAGGCTCTGAAGCTTCTTTTTGTAGCTCTTGTACCTCTCGGCGACGTCGGCCGCGTCGCCGGCGCAGAGCTCCATCCTCTCCACCTCGGCGCAGCCGTGCAGGCGCTCCAGCGACATGTTGGCGTCTTTCTGAAGTTGGTCGAACAGGTTGCGCTTGATGGCGTCACGCTTGGGGTCCAGGAAGTAGCCGTACGCGTGCGCCCACCGCAGGACTCGCCGGCAGTCGGCGACCTGCTCGTACGCCTTGGTCAGGAACCCCAGATCGCTGGTCGGGACGTGCATCTTGACCGCCATCTTCTCCAGCCCCGAGCGCTCCAGGTCGGCCATGTCCTTGAAAACCTTCTGCAGCGACGTGTGGTTGGCCGCCCAGCGCTCGTAGTGGTACAGGTACCTGTCCAACGACGCCTTCGCTTGCTCCCGCCGTCGCTCATCCTTGCCGCCGCCGGCGTTGACCTTGTCCGGCCGTGCCCGGTTGCCATCGCAGACGATGTGACTGCGTCCCAATGATTGCAGGCAGATCCAGCAGAAACGGTGGTTGCAGGGGGGCCTGCGCGTCATGTTGTTGCACCCCTGGTTCTTCTCGATCCGCCGCCGGCACTTGGGGCAGTGCTTGGTGTGGGTCAGCACCCAGTTGGCCGTCTCCGAGTATGAGACGTTCTTGGCCAGCCACGCGCGCACCGTGTCGCACGACAGCGGCCGGTGTGCCTCCTCGCCGCAGCTCCAGCAGAAGCCGTGCGCGCACTCGCAGAACACGTCCGTCGCGTCGCCGGTGCAGCCGACGAACTCCATGGCGCGGGAGCACCCGCGGCCGGGGCAGCACATGACCCTGCCGCCGCTCTCGTCGACGAACGACCAGAGCTGGCCTTGTCCTCCCGCCGCGCGCGGATATCAACCGGAATTCTTCCCGTCCGAACGCTCGGACGGGAACCATCGGCCGATGATTTTCCCGCGCGGCGGGCTGTGCGGACGGAGCCCCCGCGGCCCACATGAACGCACGATTGTTTTGATTTCCCAGCGTAGGTCGGTAAGTACGTATGATTTCTTTTTATTTTATTTTCTTTTTCTTTTCTTTTCTTTTTATTTTATTTTATTTTTCTTTTTCCTTTTTTCCTTTTTATCTTTTTCATTTTCCTTTCATATGTTTTCTTTCACTTTTTATTTATCTTCTTTTTTATTTCTTGTTTATTTTCTAATCATGTTTTTATTTTCTTATATTTTTCTTTCATTTTCATTTTTATTTTTCTTTTCTTTTTCTTTCTTTTTTCTTGTTCTTTTCTTTCTTTTTTCTTATTCTTTTTCTTTTCATCCATAATTTATTTTTATTTTTGTTTTATGTGAATTATTATTATTCTTTTCATTTTTTCATTTTTATCTTTCTTTCATTTGTTTTTTGCTTTCACTATAATTAATTACTTTGTTTATTTTACTTCTTTCTATGTTTTATTCTTTTTGTTTTTATTTTTTTTCCTTTTTCCCTTTTGTCTTTATGTTTTCTATAGACTTTTTATTTTTCCTTTTTCTATTTTATCATTATTAATTATTTTTTCATGTTTACTTTTTATTTTTTTATTTCATTAGATGTTCTATCCTTTATTTTGTAATGTTCACGTACTATATAATAATCCTCTATAATATATTTTGTGATGTTCACGTATTATACATGTGGTGTTCTATGGTGTCACTAGTAGAGAAACGACTTTTGATCCACTTCGAAATTTGGCTTTAGTCTTGGTATTTTTCGCGCCTGGGACTAAAGAAACCTTTAGTCCCGGTTGGTAGCTCCAACCGGGACTATGCCCAACGGCTACTGCGGCAGGCTTTTGCTGCAGGGGACCTTTAGTCCCGGTTGGAGCTACCAACCGGGACTAAAGGTTAACTTTTACTCCCGGTTGGTCCCTCCAACCAGGAGTAAAAGTCTACTCCCGGCTGGAGGCTCCGTCCGGGACTAGAAAGGGACCTTTAGTCCCGGTTGCTGTCTTCAATCGGGACTAAATGCCCCCTCCTATATACCCCTTCTTCCTCCCCAGTCCGAGCCACTTCGAGCTCAGTGTTCTTGCTTCATATCGCCGGCCTCTCTTCTTCCTCATCGCTGGTAATCACAAGATTTCTTCGATTCCTCCATCGATTCTTCGGTTCTAAAGGTTACCAACTTTATACTCTCATGTTTCATCAGTAGCATATCTCATTTTGTGGACTAGATATGTGTGGTTTTTTATGGTGGATTTTTTTTATTTGTAAGCCATTTAAGCTCAAAATCACTTTAAAGTTTGCATATTTGGATGAAGGAAGGTTAAAGTAGTTATTCAAAACTAGTATTCAGCTTTCATTTCTTGCATGCATAGCACACTTCATGGTTTAGAGATATAGAGAATTTTAGAGTTTTTTAATTTTATTTGTTTATAAAATGAGAAATTTATATTATATTAAAAATGAGTATAGAGAGTAGATGGCAACTACTTTCGGGTCCTCGGCCTCTCATTGGGTTCCAAAGCGACTGAGGCCGGACCTCCCTCTCATTACATGCGGCAAGTGTGAGGAGAAGATTTGTTGGACGAAGCACGGAGAAACCGGGGTTATAATGGAAGAAGGTGAAGAAGAACAATGGGACGATGATGACATTATTGCTGAATATGGTGCCTTCAATGATACTGCAATGGAGGAAGCTGAAGAAGTGGTAGGGGCAGAAGATGAGCCCGCTGATGATCTTGGTCAGGCCATTCGTGACACACAAAGAGAATGCGAAAGTGAAAAGGAGAAGATCAAGTTTGAGCGCATGCTAGAGGATCACAAGAAATTGCTATACCCAACTTGTGATGCGGGGCAGAAAAAGTTGGGTACCACACTGGAATTGCTGCAATGAAAGGCAAAGAATGGTGTATCTGACAAGGGATTTGTGGAGTTACTAAAAATCCAAAAGAAGATGCTTCCAAAGGATAACGAATTGCCCGCCACTACGTACGAAGCAAAACAGGTAGTCTGCCCTTTGGGATTAGAAATCCAGAAGATATATGCATGTCCTAATGACTGCATCCTCTACCATGACGAGGAGTACGAGAAGTTAGATGCATGCCCGGTATGTCATTCATCGTGGTATAAGATCAGACGAGATGACCCTGGTGATATTGAGGGCGAACGTCCCACGAAGAAAATTCTTGCCAAGATTATGTGGTATGCTCCTATAATACCACGCTTTAAACTTCTGTTCAGAAACAAAGACCATGCCAAGTTGTTGCGATGGCACAAAGAAGACCGTAAGGTAGACAATATGTTGAGACACCCTGCTGATGGGTCATAGTGGAGAGCAATCGATAGAGAATTCCCGGAGTTTGCAAATGACGCAAGAAACTTAAGGTTTGCTTTAAGTACGGATGGTATGAATCCTTTCGGGGAGCAGAGCAGTAGTCATAGCACTTGGCCTGTTACTCTATGTATCTACAACCTTCCTCCCTGATTATGCATGAAGCGTAAGTTTATTATGATGCCAGTGCTCATCCAAGGCCCAAGGCAACCTGGCAACGACATCGATGTGTACCTGAGGCCACTAGTTGAAGAACTTCTACTTTTGTGGAACAGACTAGGTGTACGTGTGTGGGATGAGCACAAACAAGAGCACTTTGACCTGCGAGCATTGTTGTTCGTAACAATCAATGATTGACCAGCTCTAAGTAATATTTCAGGATAGTCAAACAAGGGATATAATGCATGCACGCACTATTTCGATGACATTAAAGGTATATTCTTGAAAAAATGTCGAAAGGTCGTGTACCTTGGCCATCATCGATTTCTTCCTGCGAATCACCCCCTATGAAAGAAAGGCAAGCATTTTAAAAGTAAGGCAAACCACCAGACCAAGCCGGGCAACCGAACTAGTGAGGATGTACTCAATATGGTCAAGGGTGTGAAATTAGTATTTGGAAAGGCACATGGCAGTGAACCTGTTTCGAACGACGCTGACGGTCACGCACCCATGTGGAAGAAGAAGTCCATATTTTGGGAGCTACCCTGTTGGCAAGCCCTAGAGGTCCGTAGCGTGATGTATGTGATGCACCTGACGAAGAATCTTTGTGTGAACCTGCTAGGCTTCATGGATGTGTATGGGAAGCCTAAGGACACACTTGAAGCACGACAGGACCTACGGTGTTTGAAAGAACGAGACAACCTGCATCCAGAGAAGACAGATGATGGACACCATTACTTAAGTCCTGCCAGCTACAATCTTAGCAAAGAAGAGAAGGAAAGCATGTTTGAATGCCTAGCAAGCATCAAGGTACCATCTGGATTCTCCTCGAATATAAAGATTATAATAAATGTGCCAGAGAAGAAATTCCTAAACTTAAAGTCCTATAACTGTCACGTGCTCATGACGTAATTGCTTCCAGTTACATTAAGAGGAATTCTACCTCCAAATGTACGTCTAGCCACCGTGAAGCTATGTGCATTCCTCAATGCAATTTCTCAGAAGGCAATTGATCTAATGGATCTAGCTAAACTACAGAATGATGTGGTTCAATGTCTTGCCAGCTTTGAGTTGGTGTTCCCTCCTTCCTTCTTTAATATCATGACACACCTCCTAGTTCACTTGGTCAAGGAGATTAGCATTCTTAGTCCTGTGTTCCTGCACAACATGTTCCCCTTTGAGAGGTTCATGGGAGTCCTAAAGAAATATGTTCACAACTATGCTCGGCCAGAAGAAAGCATCGCCAAGGGCTATGGAACAGAGGAGGTCATTGAGTTTTGTGTTGACTTTATCCCGACCTTGACCCGATTGGTGTTCCTGAATCACGACACGAGGGGAGACTAAGTGAAAAGGGGACACTAGGAAAGAAACCATATATTGATACGCAGGACAATTATTTTAATAAAGCACACTACACAGTTCTACAAAACTCCTCCTTCGTGGATCTGTATATCGAGACACATAAAGAGTTGCTTCGATCTGAGTTTCCAGGGAAGTCTGAAGCTTGGATTACGCGTCAGCACATGGAAACTTTCAGCGACTGGTTGCGAAAAGAATGTCAGGGTGATGAGAGTATTGATGAGCAACTGTATTTGTTGGCTAGGCAGCCATCGTGGCATATCCTCACATACAAAGGGTACGAGATAAATGAGAATACATTTTACACAGTAGTCCAAGATAAAAGGAGCAACAACCAAAATAGTGGTGTCCGCATAGATGCCACCGATCCTAATGGAAATAAGCAAACATATTATGGACGCATAGAGGAGATATGGGAACTAAACTATGCACCTACTTTTAAGGTACCTTTGTTCAAGTGCCAATGGGTAAAGGCGACTGGAGGCGGGGTAGCAGTCGACAACCAGTATGGAATGACAACTGTGAACCTCAACAATATTGGGTACAAAGACGAACCATTTGTCCTTGCCAAGGAAGTGAATTAGGTGTTCTATGTCAAGGACATGTCTACAAAACCGAAGAGAGGGAAAAACAACAACGACCCAATCAATGAGCCAAAGCGCCACATAGTTCTTTTAGGGAAAAGAAACATCGTCGAAATTGAAGACAAGTCAGACATATCAGAAGATTATGAAAAGAATGACCAAATTCCACCCTTCACAGTGAACAAAGACCCAAGCATCCAGCTAAATGATGAGGACACTCCATTGTCACGGCGCGATCATAACCAAGGGATATACGTTAAGAAGAAGTTCAGTACTATGCCCGCTTGATATATATAGTGATGTTTAATAGTGTGTATTAGAGGTATTATGTAATAATTGTGAATTCAGAGATGTTTATTAGGTGTTTCCTTTTTTTCTATATTCAGATT